TGTGTGTCCAAAATTCCATAAATATTCTACATAGTTTGCATGTGAATGTCTCATTATATAGCATACGGTCTTTTTACTCATTTTATGCATATCAATAGTATAAAGGCCACTATACACCAGGCAATCTGTGGTTACTTTGATGTTGTAAGTAATGTGTTGCCTAGAATAGAACAGGTTTCTATTCTAATCAACAGTGTTGCCTGAAGATCAAAGTAACCATAGATTGCCTGTAATGCAGGACATTTCTGTCCTTCCAAAAATTTGTTGAATAAAGTTAAAAAATTACAATCCATTGATTGATGACTGCTGTTTTTATATGCACATTACTGGTTCATATCATCGTGGGTTGTCTGCTCCAGGATGTGCATCCATGTACTTATAAAAACTTTGTGGTTTATTAACTTTTGTATGTACAATGCACCTTTTGATGGTCATAATTAATTGCCTGCAATAGCATTGCCTGGTGTATAAGGGCCTTAATAGTTTACTATAAATGAAGCCAACAATGATAAATGAATGCTATCAACTTATACTCCAGTTGACATGACTGTGTTCCACGGCAACAAAAACAGTTCATAGTATGCATATTTAATGCTACATGAATGGCATACAATTCATGCCAAAATCATACTACATATTGATACAGTGATAAAGCCATTCCTTAAATAACAGAAAACGCTTGCCAACATGGATGAGCATTTTAATGATTCATTTTAAGTAACTGCAGTTTGCCTTGTCTGGAATCTTCTTATTTTCATTCATCTAATTATATAAGTAAAGGGCAGTCCACAATTTAATAGTTAAAGAATGCACTTTGTGCCAACAAAAGCCAAAAAACTAATAAATAATGGCACTGTGGTTGCACCTGCAACTACGTGCATTTGTGTAAATTTCAAATCAATTTGACCTCAAAATACATACTAGAGACAAATTTTAAGATTAGTATCAGCTATAGGGCATCCATGCATAGGCATCAGGAACATGCATATAGATGTACTTAAGTAGCGTAAAAATTTTGATCATAATTGAATTTTTAAACGAATTATTTTTAAAGTTGCTCCAAAATCAGAAAAAAGTCCCTGTACTGTAAGGATTGTTGGCCAAATTTTGCCAAAAATAAAAAAGTGAGAATCCTTCATTTTAATAATGTTTTCCGATGCATATACATGTACTTATGTTGCGTAGAAAGTTTCGGCCAATTTTAATCAAAATTGGATTTTTTTACAAATTTTTAAAGTCGCTCCAAAATCTGGCTGTACAGGGTCTTTGGTAGGGCTAGGCTAGAATAATTTGGAGGACAAAAGGGCAAGTTATTATGCTAGCATAATTGGAGCATAATGGGTCAAAAATTTCTGGCACTATACCCCTGACAACACAATTTCAATTCAATATGGTGGGTGGTACAAGTCAGTACTAGTAGTACAACCCAACTGCTTAATATCCAGTGACATAGGTTGTTTTGCAGTGATTCAAAGTCACTAGAAAAAATTGCATTCTTACAATAATATAATTATAACAATGCATGTACATACACTAGATAGTTGATATTTGAGTAAAGCTCAAACTATGAGCATAATAATTGGCATAATTGGATTCATTTCAAAGCATGATAGGATGGAATTTAGGGCAGTGCCTAAAAGCATAATAGGCAAAAATTGAAGCATAATTTGCCTAGCCCTAATCTTTGGTCAAATTTTGCCAAAAAGGAAAGGGCAAAAATTTTGTGAACATAAAGTTTGGTTTGGTTTGTTAATAGGAGCACTGCCTATTTAGTTTTGATTGGGTTTAATCTGCATGACTTTGGAAAGGAGCATTAAGAGCACATTTACAGGACCTGCCTATAAATAGTTATGAACATTAAAACTGGTCCCAATGTTTATTGCTAATTCTAAAATTCCAAAGGAATGTCAATTATGTATAAAAAGTATAATAGCTCATACTTTATGCTATCAACATAGTAAGAGTCACACCAAGGGCCAAGAAGATGAAGGTGATGTTACTGTTGTCCCTGTTTCTTTATGCTAGCAGTACAACCAGTGGATCTTACTGTATGTCTACTGACTGTACTAATCAAGGTACCTCTGGGTCCTTCTCATTATATCTAAGAGTCTGTTGTGTTATTGATAACTTGGGAAGGAGTGTTACTATCAAAGGGAATGGCATCAATAGATACATTCTCTGTCCAAGAGTACTACCAAAGTCTTGTCCAGGTATAATAGTTACCGTCATTATTATTACTAATTTCTTAATAATATTTTAATGTAAATGTAGTCCCTGAAGAAAATAGCACTATTAATGGAAACAGCACTATTGATGGAAACAGCACTATTGATGGTAACAGCACTATGTCCCCAGTGGAGGTTAGTATAAGTGTATAATTTATCTAGTATCAGTGATATATTGTACAGGCCAATTGTGATGGAGAAGGTGGTTGGACTAGAGTAGGATATCTTAACATGACCCAGTCTGGTGCTACCTGTCCTACTGGACTAACATATAGTAGCTACGCCAACATCAGTCACCCACTGTGTGGTACAGGTGGCTCTATTTGTACTTCAACTACTTTCTCATCTCATGGACAAGCATACAATAAAGTTTGTGGACAAGTTAGAGGATATCAAGTAGGTAGGTCTATGTCCAATGCAGTAACTTTCTTGAGCGGTGTAGCCATTTTTTATGGAGGCACTATTACAAATCATATCTGGTCATATCTAGGAGGGCAAGAAGAGGATAGCATTGATAGAAATGCCTGTCCCTGTAACACTGGGTACAGTGGCGGTACAGATTTTAATACCACATACATGTACATTAAATCTCATTATTATTGTGAGTCTGGAGCAGATCCTGGTCAGTCAGTCTCTGGTGTTCTCTATGCTGCTGATCCATTATGGGATGGACAGCAATGTGATGGCCCAGAGTCTACCTGCTGTCCAGCTAACTCTAAGATGCCTTGGTTCTATCGTTCACTGGATACACAAATCACTGATGATATTGGACTGAGAGTGTGTAGAAACGGACCACAAAGTTCAGGCAATGACATATTATTAGATATCATTGAACTATACATCAAATGACTACTATTACAGTGTATATGCATTATATATTGCAGTTATGTTTGTGTTTGTGTATAGGATTTTATTTTCAATGATTTTAATTAAGTAAAAAATTTCAAAGGTGTACGGTATAGCAAGGCTGCAAAAGTCGTGGTAGCCATTTTGTTTGGGGGTGAATCCTACTTAGTAACGTTACCGCGTTACTAATAACGTGATATGTAGTGATAATGTTGATGCTAACAAGAAAAACAGGTAGCAATTGATTATATTCCCATGCAGTATGCATGGAATTCCAAGATTTTAATTAGCAGAGAACATCAAAAACATGTTAATGTGATACCAGGATACATAGTTCACAGTAAAAGGTCCAAAATGAAATAAAATGAAGTAAACCGCTCCAAAATCTGGCTATACAGGGTCTTTGGTAGGGCTAGGCAAATTAGCATAATTTGGAGCATAAAAGGGCCAGTTATTATGCTGGCATAATGGGAGCATAATGGGTCAAAAATTTCTGGCACTATACCCCTGACCACACAATTTCAATTCAATATGGCGGGTGGTACAAGTCAGTACTAGTACAACAACCCAACTGCTTAATAACCACCTACTCAAGCATGATGAATTCAGTGACATAGGTTGTTTTGCAGTGATTCAAAGCTACTAAAAACATTTGCATTATTACAATAATATAGTTATAACAGTGCACGTACATACTAGATAGTTGATATTTGAGTAAAGCTTAAACTATGAGCATGATAATTGCATAATTGGATTCATTTCAAAGCATATTAGGATGGAATTTGGGGCAGTGCCTAAAAGCATTATAGGCAAAAATTGAAGCATAATTTGCTTAGCCCTAGTCTTTGGTCAAATTTTGGCAAAAATTTTGTGAACATAAAGTTTGGTTTGGTTTGTTAATAGGAGCACTGCCTATTAAGTTTTGATTGGATTTAATCTGCATGACTTAGGAAAGGAGCATTAAGAGCACATTTACAGGACCTGCCTATAAATAGTTATGAACATTATAACTGGCCCCAATATTTATTGCTAATTCTAAAATTCCAAAGGAAATGTCAATTATGTATAAAAAGTATAATAGCTCATACTTTATGCTATCAACACAGTAAGAGTCACATCAAGGGCCAAGAAGATGAAGGTGATGTTACTGTTGTCCCTGTTTCTTTATGCTAGTAGTACAACCAGTGGATCTTACTGTATGTCTACTGACTGTACTAATCAAGGTACTTCTGGGTCCTTCTCATTATATCTAAGAGTCTGTTGTGTTATGGATAACTTGGGAAGGAGTTTTACTATCAAAGGGAATGGCATCAGTAGATACATTCTCTGTCCAAGAGTACTACCAAAGTCTTGTCAATCAGGTACACACAGTTATGCAGCAATTTTTTATTAAAAATTTAATATCATTAGTAAGAAGTTGCAAGGACTTAAATAGCACTATCAATGGTGACTACACTATATACCCTGATGGAGTGACCCCAGTAGAGGTTAGTATAACTTGCTATGATTTATTTAATTCATTGATATACTGTACAGGTATACTGTGATATGAATGGTATCAATTGTGATGGAGAAGGTGGTTGGACTAGAGTAGGATATTTTAACATGACTGAGTCTGGTGCTACCTGTCCTGCTGGACTAATACAAAAGAACTACACTAACATTGATCACCTACTGTGTGGTAGACTAGCTAACAGTTCTACCTGTATTTCAACTACTTTCTCATCTAACGGGCTAACATACAATAAAGTCTGTGGACAAGTTAGAGGATATCAATCTTTTAGAGCCCGGGCTTTTCTTAATTTTCAAAATGATATTGAAAATTTTACTATTGATGGTGTATCCATTACTCATGGAAGCAATCCTCGTAAACATATCTGGGCATATGTAGGAAGCTACAGTGAGGCTAGAACTGATACTCAAGCCTGTCCATGTAGCACTGGGTACAGTGGTGGTTTAGACCTTAATGCTACATTATTATTGTGAGTCTGGAGCAGATGGTGGTGTAGGTTTCTCTGTTCTCTTTGCTACTGATCCATTATGGGATGGACAGCAATGTGATGATCAGGAATCTACCTGCTGTCCAGCTAACTCTAAGATGCCTTGGTTCTATCGTTCACTGGATACACGAACCACTGATGATATTGAGCTGAGAGTCTGCAGTAGTAGAACAGGAGCGACTCATCATACTCCATTGGATATCTTTGAACTATACATCAAATAACAGCTAATGAATGTGTGTGTTGTTTTAGCATGAAAATTAGTTTGATACAATACTTATATCCAGTCATATTCATGATGTAAGTTCACACACAGATACAATACTGCATGCTCTTGCATGCATGTATAGAAAAATATTAATGATTACATGCACTAGCTATAGTGCTACCAGTATCAGATACAATCCAGTATAGCTGCTACTCCACAGGGGAACTATGAAATATTTTGCTTCATGCAGGTGAGGGGTCACTGGCTACTCAAAATTTAGAATGGTGTCCAGACCCTTGGAATCACTACAAGTGCATGTTGGCACACAATAAAAAATGGATTGATAAACTTTGAGTGGGAGGAATTTTCTTAGAATACTGATTATTATTCCTTCACTTGTGTTGTGCTGTTCAATGGCTGCCTATACTGTTCTTGTACCCATCAGCTAGTGCTAAAGTATTTGTGTGTGGTATATTTCAGTTGAGGAATAAATTTGTAATAAATGACATCTTTTCATTGATCTTAAGGGCAAAAAATAATTTAAATAGCTAAGGAATGCACTTCATACTAGTAGTCAACAAAAGCCAAAAAAAACTAACAAGTGATGTACAAAAATGGATAATTTAATTTGTGCCAACACTTGTCACTATTCGGGTGAAGTTCAGACTAAAATTCATTAAAACATGCTTTCATGCAAAGTCAGGATATCAAAGGCAAGGAAATTTCAAGGCTTATAAGGCTGATTATATTTCAATGGTATCCCAACATACTGTAAG